GGGGCAGAGGTTGCTGCATGAGAGCTGCCACATGCTGCCCCTGTGCTCTGCACACTGCTCCTGGTCAGCAATGCAGCTGGCATGGAGCAGGGAGTGGGGCTGCCTTTTCAAGATGGTCTCCAGCTGCAGGTGGTAGGGGCCCATTCCAGGGCCTGCCTGAGAGCATTTACTTGCAAGTAATTTACTTGCAAGTAAACTGGTCCTGTATCAAACACACATGTAGAGACACCCCTTGTCTCCAAAGGACCAAAGAGATAGCTCTATGGAACCTCTCTTCCAACCTTCCCTTCTCCTCCCAAAAGCTGGAGGGGAAATGCATATTCTCCATAGATCATACTAAAGTAATCATTTGAAACATAGGAGGAGGACCAGGGAAGGAGATAAACATGCAATCCAAAGGAAGACAAGATTTAAAGTAGAAAATTGATTGAATATGTGAAAGCACCTGAGGCCAAGGACAGAAAAGGGAGAGTACTGATGTTGATCTTTGGTTAAGAGAAACTTGTTAAAGACTTTGGCAAGACTGGGTTTCAACTGAGTTCAGGAGGAGGAAGCTGTTGGATTGGAAAGATTCTAGGATGGACTAGGAGACGAGGCACTCCAGGAAGTGACAGTGAAGAGCATGTTCAATAGTCTTAGAGATGAAAGGGAGATGCTACTGAGATCAGGGGGTTTGGGGATTTTTTGTGTTAAGAAGTGGGAGATTTAAACATAGCTGTACTGTGACAGAAAAGATCAGAGGAAAGTGAGATGTCAAGGAGACGCACAAGGAAGGGGTTTAAGGGAGATTCTAGTTATTACTTTATAGAGGTCTCAAGGCAAAGTTGAGTTGTTAAAGGAAGAGAGGAGATGAGGAAAGTCTTTATAATAGGAGGTAAGGAGGGAGATATGAGAGAAAAACATAGAAGAGAAGGCAAACTGAGTAAGGGGCATATTACTTTTTTACTTTTCTTTTGGAAAAAAGTGTTCCACTCCTGTGCAAAAGGGAGAAGTGGGAGTTGGAAGCTTGAAAGGCTTGAAGGACAAGTGAAAAATGGTCAAAAGGTGGCTGCAACTTTGAGAATGTGGGTCTATTAAGTAGAAGTACAATTGTTTAGCTAAAAAGGTGACGGAGCCTAATGGGAGATGCTGAAAGAGATCAAATACTGGCTGAAGAAGGACAACTCAGTAACAAAGAATGTGTATTGCTTGGTAAAGATCCAGGCAAATGAATAGCTGAACTTGGGGTTGAATTAGGGCTGCAGGCAGAATGAATATGGGAGTGTACAGAAACTTGCAGCAATGGGCTTGGCTGGGTGAATAACATGAAACCTGAAGTCATCAGCAATGAGTGTGGGAGCATGTGAGGAGAAAGAGAAGAATCAAAATTAGAGAGGAGTTTGGTGAATGGCCAGTGACACTAATATGTAGGAGAGCTCAGATTCAGTGTTGGTCAGAAGAGGAGAAAGGGTGAAAAGGGGTAGCTGTGGCAGGAAGGGAGAGGAGAAGCCCAGCACCTGAACCCGGGTCTAATTTGGGAGGGCAGAAAGTGGAACAGAAGGGGAGGCCTCTATAAATGTGGGCAGCTGCAGAAGTATTATAGGAGGAAGGGATCCAGGTCTTTGAGAAGTCAGGAGCTCAGTTCTTCCTCTGTACAATGGGGAAATACTGCTATCAAATCTTACAGGGCTAGTGAGTAGAGCCTCATTAGTGCTTCTGAGGAGCTCAGACACTTAGGTCATGAGGGCCATATAAGCAGAAAGAAGGTAGATTATATTCACAAAGATTTTATTTCCAGGACATAATTAACAGCTAAATTGTGTGTGATAGAAGAGTAGACAGGGAGGTTATAGAGGAAACTGTTCTAAAATATACCTGTTAGCAGCCAGGCCTCAGAAAATCATTTTAATTTTCTCTGATTTTTTCTGGACAGAGTTCAGCAGCCTTTCAAATCTAGTTTTGGCCTTCTGCCTTTGAAACTGTTTATTTTCTATGGTTTTAATCCAATTGAAACATTATAGGCTAGGTCACTGAGTTGGTTCGAATTTAGCTGATGCATCCCTTCTTCCCAAAAGCAATATCTAAAGTGAATGGAACTTCTTAACACTGTGACCCCTTGAGGACTTGTTTCTAGTGCTTCCCTGCTATGCCTGCTAGCCAAGAAGCAAGCCCCTCCCACCTGCTTCTGCTCTACATACGCCTGAGCCTGGAAATGAGGCAGGGGAAAATGGCTTAGGGGCATTCTGAGTGAGCACGTCAATGACCCTAGTGCCTAAGCACCTCACACACACTAATGGAGTTATCACCCCTATGAGGCAAGGTAGTAATTCAGCATTTTTGAGACAGGCGCACTGTCAACCCAACCCACCCTAACCCAAAACAAAATATTTTATTTTGATTTTTCTCCATAGAAAACTAAATGTTGTTGTTGGTGGTGGTGGTGTTATTACTACAACAAATATAATTAATAACAATAACAACAACAGCAACAATAATAATCAACAAAATTAGCATTTTTTCCTGTAGAAAAGTTCAAGGTTTGCAAAAACTACCTTTCTGACTGTAAAACCTACTTGGAAGAAAATTTTCCAAGGAGTTCATGGTTATGAGAGAGAATTTACACTATAGCTACTTTTGCAGTCTCATCAGTGCAGATAACTGTCCATGTCCACTAGCCATTTTCACCACCTTGTTTTTAGATTTGCTTGATACTAGACTGCTCTCTACTTTAGAGCGTCCAAGGTTGCTAGTACTGGTGTAACTGGAGACTGTTTAGCATTACCTGGCATATTAGTGAAAGATCCCTGTAGACAAAGCTTTGATATCACAGCTCCTTTGGACTGGCCAAATAGAGACCAAGCATGTTGAAGCATGCTTAATTTTTGGAAAGGGAAAGGAAATTATACTACAAAATGGATCATGCTGTTGGACAGTGGCAATTCTCTGAAAAGTCCTATGCATCATTTAATCCCTTTATTAAAAGGTGACCTGAAAGGGAAGTGGGGGAAAAAAAAGCAGTGTTGTGCTATTTTCTTTGGTTCTGTCTGGTGGATAAAGAAAACCTGAACTTTGTTTATTTGTTACTTTTTTCTTACATTGGTAATTCTAACCTAGAAGGCTGTAACTAGAGAACTAATGAAATGATGTCATCGCAAGAGCTAAGCAAGGGAAAGCTGAGAGGAGAAGAGAAGTTCAGTCAGTCTAGAGCTCTTAATGTTTGTGTTAACACCTATTTAATGTCAATAAATGACTAATTTAGGTAAAGGACATCCTTGTTAAAATTGCAACACCTCTGCAACTGAGACACAGCTAGCAATGTATGTTCTTTGAGGGCACATCTACATGACACGCAGAACAAAAATAATGTGGGTTGTAATCTGGCTTCCCCCCAGGGACCGTCCGACCTTTATTATAGTCCCCCTAGTACAGCCTGTCTAGTGGGTATGGAGGACTCTGTGATCACTCCACAACTACGTCATCCTTAGTTATTTTGACTTAAATTGATATAAGGACACTCTTATTCCTGTGTTTTATATATCAATGTAGTTAAGCCAGCAAAGAATTAAGTTATATTGAAACAGGGCCCTCCTATACAAAAATAAGAATGTTTACACACAGTCATAAATAACCAAGGATGTAAATTACAATTGTAATTAACTATCATTTACTCTTCTTTTGATTCTATTTATTGTGTAGACAAGCCTTGAGACTCACTAGAGGTCCTCCAGTAAAGCTGGGAACGTCAAGACCTAATATGCCTGATAATTCTAAGGTAAAAAACTGGAAAATTCCCATCAAACAAACTTTGCAAATTCAAAAAGGACACAGATCCAAAAAGGACAAAAATATAATTTAAAGGGAAAAAATGGGTCACCTTTCCAGGAGAGATTTTCAAATATGCCAAATAAGTGCAAATGACATTGAATGAAAATATCTACTTAAGTAGCCAGGGAGCCTTGAGTGTTTAGTTTTCTCAGGGGTGAATTTCAGGAATAGTGAGCATCCAGGTTTGATTTCTTCCCTCCAGATTTTGTCTTCATTGACCCAAAGATGAGGAGGTTTGTTTTGTTTTAAGAGCAAAATAACTAAAGGTGGGATAGAGAGCTCACTGTAAAATCCTACCCGGAGACATGAAAATCATGTTTACACTGTTAGGGACTTGTCTTTGCTGCTAGAGACTTGTCTTTGCTGTTAAAAAAAATTATATTTTTATCACAATATAAGAAATGTGTGAGAGCTATTTTGTGGGAAAAACATAACAAGATCAAGGCTAGAGCCAGATTCCTGGAGATCAGCCCCAGGTGAGGCTATAGGCCTGAACTTGATGATTTTACCTTGTGGTTAAAACGAAAAGTCCTTGTGTTCACTGTGCTTTCACCCCAGTTTCTCAGGTATGTTTATTACCCAGAAGTAAAAACCAGTTTTCTCACTGTTAAAACAAGACCTAGGTAAGGTTATTGTTGTCCCTTCTCCATCCCTTCCTTTACCTGGTTTGTCTCGTGGTAAGACTAAAAAAGTTCCTTGTCTCCACTATGGTTTTGCAGCAGGAAAGATGACGTGTGTTAGTTATCCTGTGGCAAAAGCTCAGGTTTTTGCTCAATCGAGCCATAGTCTCAGTTGGGGAGCAGGCATTGCAATGAAAGCAGAGGACAAAAAGGATTGGTGCAGAATGTTATTAATGCACTTTTGTGTAAACAACATGTATAGCTGTATTCTTTAGCACACTAATATCCAAAGCCCCAGTACAGCATGTACTTAATGTCTTCTAAATCTCAGTGCTCACTGTATGCACAACACTGACATGCTATAATTTTGCCTCAGGACAGGCTTAGAAAAGGCTGCATACATTTACCAGTATGAATATCAACTATTTCATGGGATGCGGGAAGAAAATATTATGATTGCTTTTGGAGAGTGGGCAGGCGGGGTGACTCGAATTCAGGTGACACTGTATCACTTAAGGAAGATAAGCATGTAATGAATGTCTTTTCTGACCCATGGCTGTATTTGACCAGTTTTACACAGATATATCTCAGCACTTATGTCTGAAGCCTGTGTCTTTGATAAGCAGGCAAACCAAAGAATATAGGCCATTCCATCAAGTATGTCTGCTTGTTTAACATTTGCTTACTATCATGGGCAAAAGCATTTAGAAGCCGTCTCCTCTTTCCTCCCTCCCTCCCCCCCCTTTTTTTTGGTCAAGCACAGAGAAGCCTTTCAAGGCTTTTTATAAACTATGTAATTGGGTATGTTTTCCAAAGCATGGCTGTGTTCTTTCTGAAGGTTTAGCAAAGAACATTATTCCAATTCTTCTGTAGGCCTTCAGAAGTGCTGAGCCTTTCAACAGTATAATGTGTGAAGGATTACAAATTTGTTTTTCAAAAGACCTCCCCAAATCCCTGCTGGTTGCACCAGTTCCTGTCCTCATGTCCCTAGTATCTCTGCCCCAGCCCCCTACTCTGACTCCAAGCTGTACCAAACTGGCACTCTTGCTTTCTCTCTCTCCATCAGTGTCCCTCACTCTTTCACTTCTTTTTAGCTTTTCCCATTTTTTTATGCAAACAAAAGTGTAGAAAAAGATTGCCATGGCAACAATGGCTCAGTAGGCCATTGGTGTTGATGCAAGTTCTAAACTTTTTAAAATAATGGCCTCAAAAGAACAGGAAGGGGACAGACTGAGAGAGAAAAAGTGAGTAAGAGGGAGTGAGAGAGCGCAAAAAGCAATGAAAAGTGGGACAAAAACATTGGAAATGCATTCAGGCTGACATCATCACCCTTTCCCACAGTGGTCATTCACTTGTGAGACGCCAGTGTCCATTCACTGTCTTAAAGCTAGCTTTCTAGAGCCTGGGGAGACCATCTTTCCCTGCCTGAATGCCTTTTTTGTTGTGAAACAGTGGACTGTTTCTGAATCCCTGCATAAAGGGCTGAGTAATTCACTTCAGTTGCCAGGAAGTCTGAGCCACTTGTGAGCTAACAATAGTTAACTTTATCTCCCACCCCGAGCTGAAAGTTCCAGCTGTAGGTCCCGAATTCTAATAAGGGCTTTACTCATGCCTCTGAGGTTATGGTAATATTTTATACATCTTTTTTCATTAAGACACAGTCATAGCTACTGTTGAGGCACCAGAGGCAAGTACTGTCGATTGATAGGAAAAAAAAATAAAAAAGAAAGAAAGAAAATAGCTTTTATATCAGCTGGACAGATTTGCTGTTTAATACTAGAATTATAAACTGGGTTGGGGAAAGCAGAACTTACATCTAACCAGTTGCATTATAAACCTCTGAGTCAAACAATACCTTCTGATTGCTTCATATTTGTAAAATAGCTTCCGTTTTTACAACTTGGGATTGCTGTGGGTTTTTTGCTCCCCCGCCCCCTCTTCCTGCATAAGAGGGATGATGGGTGCCAAGAAACAGGGTGAATCATGAGGAATGTAGATGAATGTGTTTGGGCTTCCCTTTTAATCCGGATTTGGATGTTGATGCCAGCGCTCAGAAAAATCCTGCACAATGACAGCCCAGCTGAATGTATGTGATGACACACAAGAGTGATTCATGCAGCGGACCTGCAAAGCCAGTAACCATGGTGTGGATTGAAAAGAGATGTGGAACATCAGTTTTCTTTACTTTCCAAACTAATTGCCTTCCCATGAATTAATGAAACCAAATTCAATGCAGAAGACAACACCAAATATTGCCCTCCAATATTTTGTAGTGAAAATTATTTCCTCACTTCCCACTTTTAAATTAATGGTCACTGGGACTGCATTTCATTTCAGTGCGTCTCTTTAAACTTCCTCACTGGGCATAAAAGACAGCACTATTCAAACAGTTCTTCCGTGTCTTTGGCTAATGCTTCCTTCCCACTGTGCCTTGAGAAATAGCATTAGAAATGCTTGAGTGAAAATAAAGACACAGTTCTTTAACTTCCACTTAATACATTATTAATTTAAAAAAATGATTGAAAGATGCATACAATATTTGCAAAATAAAACAACAGATGTACTCTGTGTACTCCCCATGTAAGGCAATCTTGTGTCCTTGATCTGTACAAAGGACTCTGACTGATGCCAGTGGGAGCTGCATGTGTTGTAGATCAAGCCATTGCATTGTAAATAAGTTACTTGGCCTTTTGGATAAGATCAAGTGTAGAATCACTTTAATATCTAGTATCAAAGTGACCTCTATCAGGCAAGAAAATCCTGAGCATGCAGGATCATGGAATGGATGATAAGACTGATTTTTTTCCCCTCTTTAACAGTTGCAATTTCTGATCTTCACTGTGAGTTCATCTTGACTAGTTTACAGCATTCTAGCTAAAATGTTAAAACAAAAGCAAACAAGCAATCTTTTACCCTCATCAAGGCAAACCCTATTAGAGAAGAAGCAGGCCCCACAATCATATCAACCACAGAAGATGGACAGAAGGTTTGGGGGAGAGTCATTTCATGCAAGATGTTTGTTAATCATGAAATAGCTTTAAAGTCCTTGAATCTCCTCCAGTGGTCCTAATTGAAAACGCTGATCTGCTGGCAAGGCAGCTCTTCAAGCTCTCACAGAGTGTTGTCAATGCACTTGAGCCAAAATAGGTGAACTGAAGCTGAATGTATTATATTCTGACACCCATTCTGACTAAAAGGAATTAACAGGCTAATGCTTCCTAATGGTAAGAGCTGAAGTACCTATGCCAAACAAAAAGGAATCTGGCCCTCTAGTTTACAATGACTTGCAGAAGTCATGATGGGCCTTTGGCATCCTCAAATGATCCTCTTCATTCCTGAGATAAAGCTTATTCTATTTGAAAATCTGACTACATTTTAGGTGCCTAAATCAGAGCTCAGTTCTTTGAAAACCATAATGTGGTGGTAGATAGTAACCACTTGAAAATTCAGCCCTGTTTTTTGAAAAGTTGAACCTCAGTTATAGGCACTGAGTATGTGGGGCCCGAGGGCCCTGGCCCCCCTTGGGAGGAAGGTAGGGTAACCCTAATTGGGTGGGACAGTCCTGAAATGGGAACATCAACTCCTGCTCCCAGGCTGCATGACTCCAAGACTGCATTTGTTCCAGTTTTCCAGCATTGTGTAGGGATCTGGGTTTTCTGTTCACTGAAGAAAAACACAGGAAATGGTGGGTATCCCTTTGCAGGCTGGCAGAGTTCCATGAGTAGAATGGCCACAGGTGAGCGCTGCAATGGTGTCATCTGCCAATACTGAGAACAGTCTGCACAGGAAATTAGTCTGCAAGAGTAGTAAATTTACTACTGCATGGGTGTGTTTACACATGGTGATACTGCACAATGGTTACTGCACATTTATTTAGTATTTGTATATTACAATACTAAATTGTAATACTAATTGTAGAATAGATGTGGGCACTTGAAAGCCCACATCTATGAGGCCCTAGCCACTGGAATGCAGGGCCTCATTTGGTGTCAGTTGACAGGGCAAATCTAGTAGTGTAGTAGTACTGTTGGTGCTGTGATGCCCTACTGCACAGTATTATTCAACTGCTGTGCAGTCAGTGTGTCATGTAGATGTGCTCCAAGAGTAGTTAATGTACCGCACAGTAATGCATCACCATGTAACTATGCGCAGTAGCTACTATGCAGTAAATTAGTCTACTGTACAGTCAGCTAGTATCTGTAAATACAGGTACTAGATTAACTGTGTAGTAGTTACTGTGCAGCAGCGCTTGTGTAGATGCTGACTGGGAGCAAATTTGCTGCCAGTCAGCCACATCCAGGAAGAGACCAAGTCCTGGTGCTGCTAA